ACGCTCTTCATAGCAGAGGTGTGCTGCCAGCCTGTGTTAAAGAGGGCAGCTAGCTCAACCTAGAATTTGAATGGAGAGAAAAGGTAGGGCTCTTTTCACTTCAGTGAAAGTAGCTGTGATAAATATTCACATGCCTGGCAGAAGAGAAATGCAGAGGTGCTCCACTGAAGGAAAAATGTTCTGAGTCTTGTCTGTGCTGATTTTATGTCGTTAGTTACAGGGGTACCCAAAAAAGACACAATGCTTTCCTTTTTCCCCAGGAGTGTAGCACCTGCAGTAATGCAGCCAGAGAATCTATTGCAAAAGAAAGAGTTCAAATGAGCTAGTCTGGACCTTAGCTTACAGAGTAACACTATTCATTTTTCACTGGAAATAATCTTGTCAGAGTACAAATGTCTTTTGATGCAATATATAAAATATAATTAAGACAAGTGCAATTGGAAGAGAAAGGCAGGAGAAAAATGGTTTCTGGGTAACACCTTGCATTTATTTAGAAGATTAATAGATATCAGTTCCTTTACAGTCAGTCAGTGGCTGATCAGAAATCATTAGGGGAGGCTTGATTCTAGTCAAGTATATTGTTTTCATAAAAATAACTACCTGGAAAAGAAACACTTACTAAGAAGTATCAGGAGATGATGTGAATAGTCAACATGTTCCAAAATGCAAAGTAAAAATCTATTTTAAAAAAATTCTAAATTTTTTAAGACGACTAATCAAGGTTAGTAAGGAACCATAATAAAAATAGAGTTTGTATTTGTGAAAACCTGGAGGAGACTGAGAAACACCTATTGACAGATTGAATGGAAACCACTTCTGGAGCCCCACTCCATGTGAGAAAGACACAAACGTGAAAGCGCACAGAGAATTATAGTACTTTAAGCCAGCGTAGGAAAATTCCCTTTCCCTTGCATCTTCTCAAGAAATTGGATGTGTTAGAGCAGATGCTTTTTCCTGCACTAAGCTTAGTCAAGAGAACAAGCCTCCCAGTGATGCTGTCTGAAGCGTTTGGGATAGTTTCATCTAAATAGGAGGGAATAAAAACAAGGGAAAGGACACAGCAAACAGGTGAAAGCTAGATCCAAGAGAAGGAACATCTCAGGTCAGGAAAAGAAAATCAATCTGACTTTCAATCCATGGCAAGTTCTGTGTCATAGTTGTAACAACAGAAGTGACTTAAACACTTGAATCCCGTGAGGTTTTTTTCTATTTACACTGCTGCAGATCTGCCTTTCAACAAGGTTACACAGAATGAGTAATGATATCTTTTCGGCGACCTTGACAAAGAAACAATTTGGTTACCCAGTGCAGCCTATCCAGAGCAAGTGCATGTGAAAGCAGCACACTGACCACCAAATGAGGAGTATTTTGTAATAGTCAGTTCTCATGTTTCAGCAAGGGTTTTATCCTTGTATTATTCTATTCTCTTTATTCTTCCTTTTGAAGAAGTAAAACGTACACAGGGAAGGTTTTGGCATGTAGAGAAGTCATAATATTGCATTACACATCCTTCCCTAACAATTTTTATCTGGAAACATGATGATAAACCAGTCAGTTTCATTAGCTTTGTTTTTCCAACATAATTTATTGACTGGTTTATAGGGAGTCAGGTGAGCCACTCAAAGACGCGGGTGGGGTTATATCTTTCTGTATGTGAAGGACAAAATTTATGTCTCCTCTTAGCTGACCGGAAACAGTAAAGGAGAGGAAAATGAACAAGGACACAGAGACACTGAGCTGTGCGTCTTTCGGTGCCTGCTGCACTGATTCCAAGAGCAAAATGGCAAACTTTTCACGTGAAAACAGCATAAAGTTCCAAGACATTGCTGCTCCAGAGATGCTTAAATACTGCTTAATTCCTATCTTGATAAATGTTCATGATGGAATAGTTTTCAGAATGTATAATACATTAAAAAAACCACCTCATTTTATTAATAGTGTTTAGTATTTTTATTATAGAATTGTATTATACTGTTTTTATTAATAGTATTCATTTGCTGAAAATCTTTTTTCCCCTTTTTCACAATATGTGTGTGTTTTCACCAGTAGTCTGAAAAACATGATGGAAACAGTATTTTTCCAATCAGTTTCTATTCAGACCTTGTGTGATTGTAGTCTATGTGTCATTGTGGGTAAAGATATACATATCTGTACATATATATATATATATTTGTGTATATATACAATCTTTATAGACTTCTGCTGACACTCAACAGCAATAGAGTACTTTTGGTTAAACATTTCTTATCTGTAACAAACATGCCTGTAATGTGGCATTCCCCCTTAATGATTGCTAAGGAAAGAAAGCATATAAAAAAAATTGACTGCATATGTTGACTGGGGGGGATGTTAGCATGGGGAGGCTGGGAGCTTCTGTATGTGCAGTTGAAGGGTGTAGCCCACCTGTCTGTTGTAGGGTGGGCAGTTCGTCTCAGGTAAAATTTAGGTGCAGAATGCTTGCTTGGCACTTGTGGGAATAAATTTTCCAGGTAAAAAAAAGTAAAACACTGAGTGTAGACTTGAGAATTTGAGGCAAGCCAGTTGAAAGCAAGATACCTCTTTCCAAAGATACTCAGGTACTGGCTGTACCTGAAATTTTTGGCCTTATTTTCAA